TGATTGTCTTGTAATACCCTAGCTCTCCCTCTCTGTATATAAGGAGCCATCTCTCAATGTTAATAAACATCACTTCTACAAATCTCTATATGGTATCACAGCCTCACGATCTCTAATACCTACAAAAATTTTTTTTTTTTTCAAACCTCCGATACTATGTCTTCTTCAAACAACACCTACCCAGCCACTGTTGCTGACGCTATCAATGTCAATAACAATCGCACCATCCTTTCCATCAACATGTCCAATGTGACAAAACTTGTTGCAACCAACTACCTTACTTGGAGTCTCCAAGTTCATTCCTTACTCGATGGCTATGACCTTGTTGGTCATCTCGACGGATCCACCGTGATTCCTCCGGCCACTATCACGAATGACGACGTGGTCTCTGAAAATCCAGACTTCAAGATCTGGAAGCGCCAAGACAAGCTGATCTACAGCTCTCTCATTGGTGCCATCTCCATGCCGATTCAGTCCCTTGTCTCTCGTACCACCACAGCTGCGGAGGTTTGGAACAAGCTTGCTTTCACCTATGCCAAACCAAGCCGTGGACACATTCGTCAACTCAAAACGCAACTCAAGCACTGGAAGAAAGAAGACAAGACAATCGATGTCTACCTTCAAGGTGCTACCACCCGTCTTGACCAGCTTGCGATCCTTGGTGCACCAGTTGAGCATGAAGATCAGATTGATCTGATTCTGGAGGGCCTACCATCTGAGTATAAACAAGTTGTTGACCAGGTGGAAGGCAGAGATTCTCCACCAACCATAACAGAGCTTCACGAGCGTCTTCTCAACCACGAGGCCAAGCTTCTCTCTGCACCACCTCAGCTTGTTCCAATCACTGCCAATGCGGTCCAGCAACGCTACAACAACACCAATTTCCGGAACCAGAACAAATCCAAGAACAACAACAATCCGAATCAGTGGCAGTCCTCGCAACAAGGAACATGGCAGCCGCCACCACAGTCCAACAGACATGAGACTCGCGGTCCAAAACCGTACCTCGGGAAATGTCAAATCTGTGGAGTCCAAGGGCATAGTGCCAAACGCTGCACACAGCTTCAGTCGTACCAGCAACAACCAACTCCTTTCACACCGTGGCAGCCACGTGCGAATCTTGTGGTTGGCTCCCCATATTCAGCAAACAACTGGCTCCTCGATAGTGGCGCAACTCACCACATCACATCGGACCTCAATAATCTGTCTCTCCATCAGCCGTACAATGGAGGCGATGATGTGATGGTCGCAGATGGATCCTCTGTTCCTATAACACATACCGGTTCCATCTCTTTTCCCACCAACTCTCGTCTTTTACATTTGCCAAAAGTTTTGTGTGTCCCAAACATACAAAAGAATCTTATTTCCGTTTATCGTCTTTGCAATGCTAATCGTGTCTCTGTCGAATTCTTTCCCGCATCATTTCAGGTGAAGGATCTCAACACGGGGGTCCCATTGCTCCGCGGCAAAACTAAGAATGAGTTGTATGAGTGGCCACTTACAGAGTCTCAAGCTTCGGCTATGTTTGCATCTCCATCCTCTAAGGCTAATCAAGCTTCCTGGCATTTCCGTTTAGGCCATCCGGCTTCATCAATTTTAAACACCGTTATTTCCAATTATTCTCTTCCTGTTTCCAATCCGTCTCATAAGCTTATGTCGTGTTCGGATTGTTTAATCAATAAAGCTCATAAAATTCCTTTTTCCCATTCAACGATTACTTCTTCCAGACCTCTTGAAATCATATTTTCTGATGTGTGGAGTTCTCCAATACTCTCTCTAGACAATTGTCGCTACTACCTTCTTCTTGTTGATCACTACACCCGCTATACGTGGTTGTATCCGTTAAAACAGAAATCCCAAGTTAAAGACACTTTCATCGCATTTAAAAGTCTGGTCGAAAATCGTTTTCAAGCGAAAATTGGTACTCTTTATTCTGATAATGGAGGAGAATTCATTGCCTTACGGAGTTTTCTTGTTACACATGGGATCTCACACCTTACTTCTCCACCGCATACTCCTGAACACAATGGGATATCCGAAAGAAAGCATCGTCACGTTGTGGAGACAGGACTTACACTCATGTCTCATGCCTCAATGCCAAAGACTTACTGGCCGTACGCTTTTGCTGCTGCAATCTATCTAATAAATCGCCTACCTACACCGGTTCTAGAGCTGCAGTCACCATTCCAGAAGCTTTTTGGTCAGCCTCCTAATTACAATAAGCTTCGAATTTTCGGCTGCTCCTGTTATCCATGGCTGAGACCCTACAATCGGCACAAGCTCGACGATCGATCTCTCCAATGTGTCTTCCTCGGTTATTCTACGTCTCAAAGTGCTTACTTATGCCTTCATATTCAGACTGGTCGTATCTACACATCTCGCCACGTTCAATTTGATGAACAGACTTTTCCATTCTCTGTTCCAAAACAAAGTGTTTCGATCATTGCGGAAAATATTGAAGCTCCGGTCACTACTTCACCAACTCATACAACTCTTCCCGTTTTCCTGCCAACGACGCCGTCGGACCCCCCGAGTTCGGATTCTCACCCTGCTCCGTCCTCGCCATCCTCCTCATCGTCGACCTCTGCTCACCCCCAGGTATCGCCTCTAAACACTACATCTTCCTCTTCTTCTCCTTTTTCCATGTCTGAGCCCACTGCTCCTAGTCAAAATGGGCCGCAACCCACGGCCCAGTCACCACAAAACTTAAGCCCAACTCACTCAAATCCATCTCTCCCAAACTCTTTAAACTCGGCCCAACAAACACACTCAGCCCATACACAAACCGAATCCCGTGAAAACTCAAACACTTCTTCCTCCACCACGTCGTCCTCACCCTCTCACATCTCACCACCAGCAATCATACCACCACCACCAGAAATAATCATACCTCTCAACCCCGGAAATACACATTCCATGTCCACACGAGCTAAAACAGGAATCACCAAACCCAACAATAAATACCTAAATGCTGCAATCCTTATCTCTGATAAAGACCCTGAACCACGAACTGCAGCTCAAGCTATTAAAGATGAACGATGGAGGAAAGCCATGGGATCTGAAATTAATGCTCAAATCGGCAACCATACCTGGGACTTAGTCCCGCCTCCACCACCAGACGTCACCATTGTTGGCTGTCGTTGGATTTTCACAAAGAAGTACAATCCGAATGGAACAGTGAACAGATTCAAGGCACGACTGGTCGCCAAAGGTTACAATCAACGACCTGGACTGGATTACGCGGAGACATTTAGCCCCGTCATCAAATCAACAACGATCCGTACAGTACTCGGTCTCGCCGTTGATTTTTCTTGGCCAATTCGTCAGTTAGATGTCAATAATGCCTTCCTCCAAGGCACTCTCTCCGATGAAGTCTATATGCAACAACCACCGGGCTTCATTGATAAGGATAAACCACATCATGTCTGTCGTCTTCGGAAAGCTCTTTACGGTCTCAAGCAAGCACCGCGTGCTTGGTATATTGAACTTCGAAATTATCTCTTGAGTGTTGGTTTTGTTAACTCTTTTTCAGATACATCTCTATTCGTATTGAAGCGTGGCAAGTCAATCCTTTATATGCTGATATATGTTGATGACATTTTGGTGACTGGGAATGATACAACACTCCTCCACCAAACTCTCGATGCTCTCGCCAAGAGATTTTCGGTCAAGGATCATGAAGATTTACATTATTTTCTTGGCATAGAAGCAAAGCGAATCTCATCGGGTCTTCACCTCTGTCAAAGGAAATATATTCTTGATCTCCTCACGCGTACGAACATGTTGTCCGCCAAGCCAGTCACAACCCCAATGGCTGCCTCTCCAAAGCTGACTCTACACTCCGGAACACGGTTACCTGATCCGACGGAATACAGAATGATTGTGGGCAGTCTACAATACCTTGCATTCACTCATCCCGATCTCTCATATGCAGTCAATCGCCTCTCCCAATACATGCATGCACCAACAACAGATCATTGGCAGGCTGTTAAGCGACTGCTTCGTTACTTGGCGGGTACACCAGACCATGGTATCTTCTTACGGAAAGGTAACATACTCTCATTACATGCCTATTCTGATGCGGATTGGGCAGGTGATAATGACGACTACGCTTCCACAAATGGGTACATTGTTTATCTTGGTCAACATCCAATTTCGTGGTCCTCAAAGAAACAACATGGCATTGCTCGATCATCAACCGAGGCAGAGTATCGTGCCGTAGCCAACACGTCATCTGAACTAATATGGGTATGTTCCTTACTTGAAGAACTTGGGGTTAGCTTACCAAAACCTCCAGTCATTTATTGTGACAACGTAGGAGCTACGTATTTATGTGCAAATCCGGTTTTCCATTCTCGGATGAAACACATAGCATTGGATTATCATTTTATTCGAAACCAAGTACAGTCCGGCGCTCTCCGAGTTGTACACGTTTCCACTCATGATCAACTTGCAGATCCCCTAACCAAACCCTTGTCCCGAGCTGCATTCAACAATTTTTCAAGCAAGATCGGCGTTACAAGAGCACCGCCGTCTTGAGGGGGCGTATTAAGGATATCATTATATCAATTATATTAATCATATCAATGAGTGCGTATGTTACGATTCTAATTATGTATAGTTGTATATTCTCTCATTGATTGTCTTGTAATACCCTAGCTCTCCCTCTCTGTATATAAGGAGCCATCTCTCAATGTTAATAAACATCACTTCTACAAATCTCTATAGTAAATACAATTTCATCTATGTTTATCTGTTTACTTCTCTTGTTCAATATAAAGCTTGGAAATGATCATTTGTATTAGGTGATGAATTGTGAATACGCTGTATGTGACTATGTGTGACTTAACCCCTTGGAATAAACATGTTGCATATATATTCCGACTCACAAAAAAAAAAAACGTACAAAATAAGAATCAAGATATATATGGAAAGGAAATATCACCGTCGAGATATACCATTCAGAATCCAACGGTTGAAATAAATCATCAAAAAATGAAAAGACCATTCTACTTCTATATATATAAGTGTGAGTGAGAGAAAGCCTCACATAAATAAAAAGTCTCCTATTCTGAATAAAATTATTATTAACAATAATTCACTTATCTTAAAGACTTGAATCGACCGGAGAAGAGATACGTGTCGAGATCTGATTAGCTCACCGGAGAGAACAAAACAATAAAATGGGGAGGACGACGTGGTTCGACGTTGACGGGTTGAGGAAAGGAGAGTGGACGGCGGAGGAAGACCGGAAGCTCGTGGTTTACATCAACGAACACGGTCTCGGCGAGTGGGGTTCACTGCCTAAGAAAGCCGGTACAAATCTATACTTACACCATTCTACATACAATGTGTACGGTCTATACTATGTTTGTATCTCTTTGGAAGCTAGGGGCTTTGAAGAAGCCAAGCTAGGATCTTTAGATTCCATTTTCTGTCGGACCATAGATTTTGTTTTCTGGTCTGTTTTATTTATTTGGGTGGTTTTAATTTTCTAGATTTATGCACAATAGTATATTTTTCCGATTTTTTTAAAAATCAATATACGTTTGTTAGCTTTAAAAAAAAAAATCGATTTTGGGAGTAAATAACTAAGGGATCTATCATTGGTAAAAGATAGCTCTTACGAGCTTTTTGTTGATAAATCTGTGTATGCATTATTACAATATTCTTCTTTTTTTTGAGCTCATGCATTACAAAGTTAGATGAGATTTATCGTCTATTATATTCATAAGCATGCAGAATATCTTCTATCAGATTCTAACTATATGATGATATTATATCTAAATGCAATCTATGAAACTCATGAACGCCAAGTGTTTCCCTGGTTCCTATTTCTTTTGATTATTATATATTTATATAGTATTATCTTATTAAGTGTATAAAGCTCTAGAAAATAAATTATGATCCTTTTTTACCCATTTTCAGAAAGTTTATTTCATTGTGTGTTTCTCCTTTTCTATTTGATGGAAAAAGAAAATTTCAATCTTTTTTTGTAACTTCTCTGTTTGCCACCATGATAAAAAAAAAAAAAAACTTTTTCTCTATATGCAAAAATTAGGTCTGCAAAGATGTGGAAAGAGTTGTCGATTGAGATGGCTGAATTATTTGAGGCCTGGGATTAAAAGAGGCAAATTCACTCCTCAGGAGGAAGAAGAAATCATCAAATACCATGCTCTCCTTGGAAACAGGTAATTAATTTATTGTGATTAAATGCAAACACAACCCATCTTTGATCAATACTTTATCAATCAATAATGGCGTGTTATAGTATCATTTTAGTAATATGGTCCTTTTTAAAAATCAATGATTACAAGGTGGGCAGCAATAGCTAAGCAAATGCCAAGCAGAACAGACAATGACATAAAGAACCATTGGAACTCATGTCTTAAGAAAAGACTTGCTAAAAAAGGAATCGATCCAATGACCCATGAGCCAACAACAACAAGCCTCACCGTCGATGTCACCTCCTCATCAACTACGTCGTCTCCTACACCGAGCCCCACTTCTTCTTCTGTTTCCTCCTCTTCATCCAATGGCTCTGCACGTTTCCTTAACAAGCTCGCTGCTGGAATATCGTCAAGAAAACACGGACTTGAGAGTATCAAGACAGTGATATTGTCAGAACAACCAAGAGAAGCCGTTGATGAAGAGAAGATGATGATAAGCATGGAAGAAAAGGAATTGATGAGTTGTTTCATGGAGATTGATGAGAAGCTGAGTATTGATGAACTATTTTGTGATGACTCGACGGCTGGCTTTGTGGCTTTTGATGACTACTCATTAACCGATCCATACAGATACAGTGTGTACGAATCTGATTTCTATGACGAGACTGAACAGCTTGACCTGTTCCTCCTTTGAATCACATCTCTTTGTCTAATAAACCCATTTCTTTAGTGTGACGAGAGAGAGATGTCTGAAAAAAAGCAAGTGCTTATTAGTACTTTAAATGACATGCATGGTCAATGTTGTTTCAAAGCTTTGACTGTTACTTTTTTATTTTAGGTTCTTGTTCTCTCACACATGCCTATGAGCCTACATATATTTGAGGGTTTCATACCATTTTAGTGAAACGAGCCTATCGAATACTATATTCCTCCTACAGGTTTTGTCATAATGGCGTGGTTGAAACTTCATCATATGTGTGTAAGGGGTTCTAGTACGTTACTTTTAGTTATTAAAATCATTTTTAAAAAATTCAAATATCAAAGTAAAAGAACCAGATTTTCTATAAGAAAATGATACTAGAATATATACTTGCTTAGTTTTTAGCTTTGGTGCAAGCTTATGACTTGGTTTAATTATCAAGTTTTCACATATAGATTTTCTTTTTCTTCGTTTTCGTAGATAGAATTGGCTAATTTTTAATATGTATTCCATAACTTACATTTGATATATGGTGTCATTGGTTAATAATGAAATTCCAAAAAATAATATAAATATAAATATATATATATATAAATATAAATATAAATATATATATATATATATATAAATATATAAAAATAAAAATAAAAATAAAAATATATATATATATATATATAAATATAAATATATATATATATATACAATGTGAATTTCAATATAAAAATGGTGAAAAATAATATCAATTACTACTAAGTACTAACCTAAATGTTCTTGTCTAAGTATATATACATGTTTATTGGATTTAATTTTGTATATAAAAATTAATCTAAACTTGGACCACGCAAAATATTCACTGTGACATTGTAAAAAAAAAAAACTATGAATATTTACTATATTGGTGCCAAAATAATAAATTCATCACTAAGAAGTGGATGATGGTCTAAAATAATGCGGAAAGTGAGTACCAAATTATTAATAAGAACGGGTCCAATATATATTGCTAAATTAATATTCGAAATTTCAAGATTTTGATGTCACAGAAGCAAACATAACCAAAGTGTTAATTGACAGCTATCTCGGCATAAACAAAAAATGTGGTCACACAGAGGTCAATGTTTTTCTACTATTTGTGACAATTATTTGGAGACTAATCTCAATTGCTCTTCAGAGTTAAAGAATTAATCTATATACTCTCCTCTAATCTACATACTCTCCTCCTTTTAATGAGGACGAAACTACCCATTTACTAGGTATACGTGGTACAAATGGTATCCTAGTTGTACCCTCCTAGTTGTACCAGATCTTAGTTGTACCACCACCTAGTTGTACCACCTAGTTGTACCAGACCTTAGTTGTACCAACTAGTTGTACCAACTAGTTGTACCAACTCCTAGTTGTACCACAACTTAGTTGTACCCGAATATTCCCGAATATTCCCTAGTTGTACCCGTTACAACCCGTATAAAAGGATTCGAACCCTGAGGGCGCGTGCGTGTGCATGGAGCTCGCAACCACTGAACTATTGTGTTTTTCGTTGAACACTTACCGATTTAATTGTATTTAACCTTTATCACCCGAAATCAACCCTCATTAAGAGTAATTTTGTCTTTCTACCATTGAGAAGTATTTGAGACAAAATTTGGAGGTTGAAGAACCCCTGAGAATTTGTTCTCAATTATTTTGTGCCAATTAGTATAGATTCTTAGTAATACTTTTAAATACTTCTAGTTTTGTCATACCAATTTTGGGAAATCTTTAAAAGTCATGTGCAAAATTTATCATCGTCTGGCTGCCTTCCGCGTCGCTGGTCCATACTTATTTTGGACTTTTTCATTATCAAGTTCAAAAAATTTTCGTACGATCATTTTTTTTTGACAATCCGTACGATCATTTTCTACACATATAAAAAATGACTTATACAGTTTAGGAATATAAGAGAAGATAAAAAATGACTTAGGTTCGAGTTAAAAAATAAATAAATTTTTATTTACGTCACCGACTACACTAGTTTCCACATCCAAAAAGATCAATGAGAAACCACATGATTTATATTTTTTACCAGCGAATCACAACTTTTTTATATTTTTATGTTTTGAATCACGTCGTTTTATTCTAGCCTAATATAGTAATGTCCTTGTAATCAGATACTATTTTAATGGTTGATAAAATAAAATAGAACACAATAGTAAAAAGTTATAAAACAAATTTCTATATAGATAAAGTAGAACACAGTTGTAAAAAGAAAACAAATTTCAAAAATAGATGATTCCAGAAAAGTGGGGGAAAAAAAAGTATAGCGGAAATAATGCATGTGAATGTGACATGTAATGTGAAATTAAGAAGAAAGCACAGTTCAATATTTTCATCATTGCAGCTATATAGACATGGGGAAATACTCTTAAAATTATTTGCAAAAAATGAATCTTAATCATTATCCTATTGGCGATAAATGATGATTAGCATATTTTTTTTCAAAATGGATTAAAGTGGGCGATAAATGATGATTAGCATATTTTTTTCAATAATGGTGACGATAAGTTTATTCCTTTTGATATTTTCATTTTAGAGCTACTTTAACCTATTTTTACACTATGACAGACAAAAATGTAAAACTTTTCAGTTTTCTATTATTCAGAAAATAAAACTTTTCGTGTTTGCTTTTAACTTTAACTTTTTTTTTTTTTTTTTTTGTGGTTCAGTTCAAAAGAGTTCAGTGAGTCATCAAATCAAAACGTTTGTTTTTTTCGTACCATTCTGACAAATCTCGATCCTTCTTTATCTACATTGTATCTCTATCTATCTATGTTTATTCCTTTTCCAATCATTTCTTAGATGGGAGTATGGGACACAATTTCATCAATTTGGAAGATTCCTTATCTATGCAATGACTTGCATAAGTTAATGGGCTGGGCTTGGGCCTGAATAACAAACGTAATTGGTCATGGAGCTTGGAGCATATGCTCTATTGCTTTCTGGTTGATTCGTATCTTATTAGTTATTATATAAAGTATGGTTTTCAAGTACCTCACGAGATCGCGACACGTGTCAAATCTATCGATCTTAGATTTTGATATATGTAAAACAAAATTTTTTTTTTTAAAAAAATAAGATAATTGTAAATAATTATAAATTTATATAATTTAAAAAACGTAAAAGATAATTATAAATAATTAATATTTCTATAAACAATTTAAAAAATGTCAAAACATAATAATAATAAAATTATACATTTTTTATAATTAAAAAATATATATTACAATTAATAAGAAAAAAATAGGCAAATTTACTTTTTCAATGCCACTTTTCAAAAATATCCCTTTTTAAAAACTTTATAAAAAATGCTCTTAAAAATATAAGACTTACCCAAATATGTATGTAATATTATTAAAACATACACAAACTACATTTCTATTTATCTAAAATCTTATAAATACTTTATATATACCTTATAAATGCATTTTAAATACCTTTTAAAACTTTTAAAATATCTTGTAAAACCTTTGAAAAACCTTAAAAATCCTTTAAAATAACTTGTAAAACCCTTAAAAACACCTTATAAAACCTTATAAATACTTGGATCGAGTCTTCAAGTAGTAGTTACAATCCATAAATACTTTATAAACCTAATAAAACTTTATAAAAATTTCAGATTTAAAAATGGGCATTTTTGAAAATGGACATCTAAAATGGGCATTTTTGAAAAGGGGCACACCAAAAGGAGTATTTTTTAACAATTTCCCTTAAACTAATCCTCATATTATTTATTTGAGTTTATTTTTCAATTAGAAATATGAGAGATCAATTGTTTTTTTCCTTTTTGTAATTTTTTTACTTAAATGTGTTTTTTTTTATCCTCAATTATGATTGTAGTATTGTTAGATTGTTTCCTTCAATTTCTCTTTTATATTTAAATTATCAAAGATTCATATATCATCAAGTTTATAATTTTTTATTTTTAGTTTAACTGTTTTTATCTTTAAATTATTTATTTTGGTTGCTACGTTTAGTTTAAATTATATCATATTTATAATATATCATAGTTCTAATGATTTTAGATAGCGACATGTGTCATGATTTAAATTACAAATTTACATTATTTCTATCAATTTTATTTTCTAATTAGAAATATGTGATGATTTTAAGTAAAGTTTTATATTGTTTATTTGAAATTCTTGAATATGTAAAAACCATATATGCTTCTTCTTTGTTTTTGATATTTTGAATTTAATTATACTATTTCAAAATTGTTTATTTAAATTTTTATGTTCATATTTGAAATATACAAGATTCATAAATCATCGTGCTTATAATTTTTGAATTTATTAATTTTTATTGGTTGATCACAAAGTCATTGCAATCGAATATATAGGAATCGAACTCGCAACGTTAGCTTGGAAGGCTAAGGAATTTAGTCGATTTATCATCTTTCATTTTTAACGTGTTTAATTAAAAACCACTTTAGTTTCATTCGCAAACTTTATGATGAATATTTTTAATTTTAGTTTTTCATATAAGTATACCAAGAGATATTGCTATTTGATATAACTTTCATTTGAAATAATTTTGAATTAATAATTTTAGTGGTTAACGAACATTTCAACAGTAAAAAAGTAAGTATTTTTTTTACTTTTAAAGATAATTTCTATTTACAACGTTGTTAATTTATTTTTTTCTTAAATTTGATTTTAATTTCTAAGAAATTAAATTATCTAGTATTCCTAATAATAAATGAAAGGAACAATTGTTGTGTAAAGAAAAGTGAAGGGAACAATTTTCCGAATCACAATGACCACATTGGAGCTTAAGTGACCTTCTTCTTCTTCTTCTCTTTACTTTCTCTCCATTCTTTGATTTCACTCTCTATCTTGGAGTTGACGCGTGCTTTAAATCCAGAGTATGGTTCGTACCCGAAAACAGACTGCAACACCTGGTTTTATTCAATCCATTGTGATTAATTACTTCATGGAAAGATTGAAGGAGAAACATAAAAAGAAGAAAGTCAGAATGTCAACCTCGAGCAACACGAAGAAAGGACCCATCAGAAAAGCTTGGAGTAGATTATTAAAAAGTGCAGGAGCTCGTTTCTTGGAGTAGAATTATTAAGATCGGTTAGTTAGGTTTCTGCAGAGGAAAATGAATCATAAGCGATGATTTCTAAACAGCAAAGTAAGTTTATTACCTCAAACAAGCCGTGACCGAGGAACTGACCACTCCAACACAAGAGCTGAGAAAGCGAGTCAGATTACAAAAGATATAACTTTTTGCTATGCAAAAGAAGAAAAACGCAACTTTGTTTTAACCAGGTGATATAGACATTGCATTTGAACATGGAAGGACCACATTATATCCAGACAAGTGATCATTAAAGTTCGGAGACAAGACATTGACGTTCCATTATCATCATCAGCATATATACCAAAGAAAACAAGAGCTCCACAGAAACATTAGAATCAAGATCACTCTGAGCAGAGAACACAAGAAGGCTTTCAAGTCAAAGCATGTAAGAAATTGAGCTTAAAATGCATGAGGGAACCATAATTGGATTAATGGGCTCACCTTTAAGGTCAAGGAATGTCCTAATCGAGCTGCGAGGAAGCTAGAGCCAATCCAACAAGAAAAAACATAACAGAGCAGCTAAAACTCCAGATTTCTTATCCAAACATAAATCACAGTGAGAGTAAAACCAATGTCCAAGCGCAAAACACTGTCAAAAGTCAGTGATTGGAGGAAGCCTAATTGAGAGTGATCTAAAATCGGTGGCGTAGAGTAGAGGAAGAGAAGGGTAGCGAAGACGAACAGAGTGTGTGTGGAGATGAGAACTTGTTTCTCAAGCAAATGAAGATCAAAAGCAACTCAAGGCTTAACTCTAGTCAAGTTAAAGTTGGGTTGGGATACTTTTGGGACCACAAAGGGGAGCCTCTCCGTTTTGTCTGTTTGTGCTCAAAAGGGTTGCGGTTTGTTTTAGCACAAGGAAGCCCTAGTTAGCTGTCTCTATATATAGGTGCTTATCTTCATTGAGAGAAGCTAAGGGAGAAGGGAGTAGAGAGAGAGAGCAATAGCACAATGTAGATCTAAGAAGAAGAGTTAGTAAGGTATAGAGATGAGAGAAAACATGTATTAGTATAAGCTTGTCATTGTTGTTCTCTGAGTTATACAGGAAGTGGTACAGAGTGAGTCTAAGTACTAGTGAAGGGTATTAGACGGGTCACTTGTTGCTTCTTGTTTGTAATACCTTCTTCTTCATAGTGAAGTTGTGGATCTATCGATCCTAACCGGACGTAGCGGCTCGTTAATGCCGTGAACCGGGTTAACAAATCCTTTGTGTGCTCCTCTTCTTCCTTCATCTTGCTCTATTTTATCTTCCTCCTCTTCTCGATACTTTACTTGATTTGTTTCCGTAATATGGTGTTGATGACAAATGAGATAAAGCTTGAGCCTTTGAGAGGCTAAAAACCTCTACAAGTGGTATCAGAGCACAGGTTAGTGCTGAAAGACTCAAGCTTTATCCAGAATCTTCAAGTTTCTTGAGAAAGATTCAAGCTTTATGAAGAAGATGCAAGTTTTGTCGAAAAAGGTCACACCTTTATCAAGCAATGGCTTCGGGAAGTGCAGCTCTAGAGAAGAAAGATGGTTTGGAGATTATATCTCATAGAAGACGGAGTGTCTTGTCCATCTAAGAAGATTGAAGTGTGACCTTCTGGAAGCATTGAGAGTAGAAGACAGAAGAAGATGCAAGATTTCTTTTGAAATCTGGGTTTCGCGGAGGAAGCTCGTCATGAGCTCTTGTGGTGTTCAGAGATCGACGACAAGGAATTCAGAGAGATTCTCACCGGAGAAGGCTGAGATTCCGGCGGAGTGGCTCGAGTTTCCGACGACGTCGTGAAAGAGAAGACGGCGCCGTCACGAGTAGAACGAGTCGGAGAAGAAGAAGCCTTGGGTTTTGCTGTCGAGGAAGAGACGCACGGTGAGAGAGAATCACGGAGATGTGGTGGCCATATAAGTCACCGGATAACATCTGGATGGTGGCCGGCAAAATCATCTTACGATGGTCGACGGGTGAGGAAAAGAAAGGTCAAGGTACGACAAATTGTTTTCTTCAAGTTGGACCAAGATGGGCCTTGTCTATCATTAGTGAATATTCTAAGTGGGCTAAGATCTCTTAATGCCCAAAAGTCAAAAGAGGAACAAGGCACGTTTCTCTTTGACGTTTTCTCTTTCGTTGAAGTGTTGAAATTGAAACTCGAAGGAATTCAACAAAGGCAAAGGCCTCACCAAATTTCGTAGAGTTTTTTTTTGGTTGGGGGTGCATCAGTTCTTGTCTGTGTTAATATCAGAAAGAGGAGCTTCAATATATGAAAGAGATGTGAAGGCTAGAGCTTAATCGAAGTTATGAAGCTCAGAGTCCTTCAGAGAAATTCAGAGATGGAAGCAAGAAGCATATGATCGAAGATGGTGATTCTTGATCATTGTTGAAGAAACCGGTTAGAGTTGATGTTGAAATTGAACATCAACTTCAAGACTCAAGTTTTGGGAAGCCTTAAGTCTGATTCCGCTGTAGTCACAAGGTATTTTGTGATGCTCTGTATTGAAGTTTCAGGTTGCTCGAGTTCTGCAGATTTATTGGAAATGGAAGTTTGTTGGAACACAAGTGTTATGTACTGGTTCTACAAGATTTAAGCCAAGATTCAATGATGGTTTTCATGTTATCTTCTGGCTGAATCAGTTTTGGTAAAGTCAGTTTCAGGTGGTGTTCTAACTATCGTGTTTCCAGCCCGGTAACTCATAAGATTCATGGAAGTAGGGGATGCCTTAGAATCTTGAAGCTTATGGGCGTTTTATGGCTGTGTGTGTATCAGTAAAGGTACTCTTGGTTCAGTTTAAAGGAGGTTGCAGAATGGTTATCAAGCAAGCCATGTTTTCTGCTTATTCAAGACAGAAAAATGTTATGGAAACTTCATTGGTATTGGCTGAGTTTTGAAAGGGGTTTCGGTTGCAGGTTTATCTCTGTGTGTAGTTGTCAGTTCTTGTGAATGAGAGAATCTACGGGTTGTGGATCATCAGAGAACGTGAAGCTACAAGGCTGCTATTTTCAAAGGGAATGCAGCGTGGTTTGTAAGCATGTTGTTTGGTGTAAGCTGGACAGTTTGTGCTTGTTTGGTCATGAGAACGAATTCTCTTGACAAGGTAATGGCAGCATAAAAGATTCATGTTCTGTGCAAATTTGTGTTTGGCATAACACATGGTAATTTTGCTTAAGGAACAAGGAGTTCTTATCTCGGGTGGAGCAATATTTTCTCAGAGTGTATCTTGTGTTTTGTGTTTTTTGGATCAGATCTTCAAGTGTTAAAAGAAGCATCTGATGGTATGCAATTGGCTGTACTATTTTCTTGTGTCGAAAGTCTTCCTAGCCAAAGGGTGTTAGGCGGCGTGTCCTGTTCGTTTGAACAGCGGTGCAAGACAAGTATATAGTGGAATTGGCTACAGGAAAGTACAAGATTTTATTTATGGGAGTGAGGTATGGTTTGATGGTGTATCAACCTAAGTTGTTTCACAATTAGATCATGAAGAATGTTCCAAGTAAAGAGAGGACAAGGCTGCAGAAATTAAAGACAAGTTCTTAGTGGTTTTCTGATTGCAAATGGATCATTTGAGGTGGCTGAAGGAAGAAAGAAGATGTGTCTCATGTTTTGACACACTTTCTCAAGCAAGTAATCATGGTGATTCATAAGAACGTGGAAATGAATCCAAGATATAGTGAAGAGTAGCTTTAATTCAGATTGGTGAAGCTCAGCTTATAGAGACAAAGTGCATCCAAGGGTTATAGTTTCAGGTGGAGTATTGTTGCTACAAAAGGAGCAATGCATATCCTTATGGATATTTTTTTTTCATGGTGGAGCTATGTTTGTGGATGGTGTCTCAGAAGGTTAGCTGAAGATAAAAGAGTTAAAGGGCCGAGTAACTCACTAGTTTATCAGATTCATGGAAGTTCAGTGTGCTAATAAGAAAACAAGTCAAGAACAGTTTATTATCAACGGGTTTTCAGCTGAAAGAAGGTTATAGCCTGATGGTACAAGGCTGGCTACAGTTTTTGGTTTGAAGCTGATTGTTGGTGATGATATTCAGAAGCAGAGCTGCAGGTTTCTATGATGGAGTTGCAGGTTTCTGAAAGCTTTTCAGAAGACCTTAAGATGTAAATAGAGATGAAGACATTGAAGTGGTTAAGTGAGTTCTCTAAAGGAGAAACTGAGAGGAGACAAGCACGAGTGTTGCAGGAGTTGTCTCAAGGTTGCTCACTTCGGGAATGTGAAAGTGTTGTGTATCAAGTTTGATAACAACCCATCTCAAAGCTGGTCTTGGTAACTGAAAAAGGAATCCTAGGAAGGATGTAAATGCAGAGAATGCATTTGGAAGACAACAACTAAGGAGTTTTTTTTTAGTTTTGGTTGTCTGCACCAAAAGGGAGTATATGTAAGTATCCTCTCAGAAAAAGATACTTGCATACCATTCAAGTGGAGTATCTTCTAGTATCATATGATGATAAAGAAGAAAAAGACTGGTTAAGTCTGAAAATCGGATGGTGCAAGGTTCAAGTCGTTTGGTGGAGGTCCGCAGGTTTTGCAAGGACTGTACTATAGTAGAAAGTGCATCAGATTTCTAGAATGGATGTGGAAGGTGCTGTAAGGATTGTCTCAGGGTTATCACAAGGTCTTGTTGATGTGAGACAGGTTTAAAGATTGCTGGTAGTGGTTCAAATCTGCTGGTAAAGGCTCTGTTTAAACAGAACTGTTGAACAAAGGATGTGTTCTGGATTGGTTTTGTTAAACAGGTTTGTAAAGGTCATCTAAAGCTGTTGTGGTACTAAACAGGCTGTTTAGATGGTTTACATGGTGAATCAAAGAAGCTTCAGGTTTGAGCTTAAAAATGATTCTGGTTTTCTGCATTTGATTCAAGTGAATTCAAAGGGTTTTGATCTCAATGCGCATGAGGAAATCCTAGAAGCTAGCAAGGGAATCAAGTTTTGCAGAGGGTTATTTGGTACTTCAGTCACTGGTACAAGCTCATGGCCTTAACAGAAGCCATGGTGGAGAATGTGTGATTGGACGTCTAATAAGCGGTGAAGCTTATGGAATTTTATGTTGTGTTTAACAAGCTGGAAGTGTTCTCTTGACTTGTTAATGGAGTTGTCTGAGCGGTGATGTCAAGTATTCAGGTGTCGAATGCATCATAGGAGGTGATCAGGGAAGAATTGAGCTTAATGCAAGACTGCATTGGAGCTGGGTTTCACAACTCGTGATCTAAAGATGTATTGATGGCTCAGGTTCAGCAGTGTGAGTAGTCACAGCTGAAGTGTATTGAATATAAGTTTAATACAGGAAGGATCAAGCAGGTTTATGGTGTTTAAACTGCTTAGAAGGTACTCTCTCCCTCTCTCAAGTGTGTGAAGGTTGTGTGGATTGATCAACATGTTCTCAGGTGGAGATTTGTGGAGATGAGAACTTGTTTCTCAAGCAAATGAAGATCAAAAGCAACTCAAGGCTTAACTCTAGTCAAGTTAAAGTTGGGTTGGGATACTTTTGGGACCACAAAGGGGAGCCTCTCCGTTTTGTCAGTTTGTTCTCAAAAGGGTTGCGGTTTGTTTTAGCACAAGGAAGCCCTAGTTAGCTGTCTCTATATATAGGTGCTTATCTTCATTGAGAGAAGCTAAGGGAGAAGGGAGTAGAGAGAGAGAGCAATAGCACAATGTAGATCTAAGAAGAAGAGTTAGTAAGGTATAGAGATGAGAGAAAACATGTATTAGTATAAGCTTGTCATTGTTGTTCTCTGAGTTATACAGGAAGTGGTACAGAGTGAGTCTAAGTACTAGTGAAGGGTATTAGACGGGTCACTTGTTGCTTCTTGTTTGTAATACCTTCTTCTTCATAGTGAAGTTGTGGATCTATCGATCCTAACCGGACGTAGCGGCTCGTTAATGCCGTGAACCGGGTTAACAAATCCTTTGTGTGCTCCTCTTCTTCCTTCATCTTGCTCTATTTTATCTTCCTCCTCTTCTCGATACTTTACTTGATTTGTTTCCGTAATATGGTGTTGATGACAAATGAGATAAAGCTTGAGCCTTTGAGAGGCTAAAAACCTCTACAGTGTGGATTATTATGTTAATGGGATCGCTGTGATAAGCTCCATAGAAAGCAAAATGCTTCTCTAGATCGAACAATCCAATACGCTTGCTCATGATTTTAAATTTTTCTCCAAACACTTGAGTGGGAGACTTTCTTGGGGGGATCGACGAAAGACTAAAGGAGAAGACTTTTGTGATTATTGGCGTTTACTTAGCAGATGCGTCACGTAGAGTATGCTAACATGCGCCTCTGCGGTTACAAACTAACGTACGCTTTTAGGAAATGATCATTGACCAAGTCTTAAGCACTGCGGTTGCGTTTTGATTTTGGGATAATTGAGAGAGCACATTTCAGTAACTAAGAGCAGTGATAAAAGATTATCGATAAGAAATAGCGCGATTCATTTTGCAATTTTTAATTAGAATTATCAATAGTAAAAACAATAGGATGATTCATGATTTTCACGTGGTTGATAATAACAAAATTATCATGCTATATTACCACCATTATTCTACTGTTGATTAGTGTCATCAGAAGAAAAATCTTAACCAAATACTAATGAGGAGAGTGTGTACAAGTGCCGCCATATTCACATCCCATCAACTAATAATATTCATTACGAAACCTATAAGATAATCTTATAATATATATAAGAGCAAAAAGATATGGAATTTGATGTGTTAATCGAGTGATGGTTGCAGCTATCTACTTCAGATATTGTGACCGTTGCCTTCCAAATCCTGGAACCACGTCCTTTTTTCTCGGTCGTCTAAGATTACTCTTTTAATGTCTCATCGCAAAACAAATCTTTCTGTGACCAAATATACGATCTTCTTATAGTCGTATAACATTCATCATGATGTAGTTAAGATTTTTAAGAAAGTAAGATGGTGCATGTTTTCTTTCTAGGAAATTAAGATGTAGTAATTTTTTTTTTTAATGATATTGTTCGACTTAAAATGATGAAACCCAACCATTTTGTTTTACTTAAGACTTCCTACATAATTTTGGTTTCGACCATGTCAGTTTTTCACCAATTTGGAAACTATAATAATCAAATGATGTATAAATATTCTTTATTAATATCATCAAGTTCTAGAACTTAATTGGGGGAGAAAGAGATTAGCGCCAAATTGCAAGAATTTTTAATTGGTCTTTTAACAACTTCCAAATTTCAA